CGGTTAAATTGTGCGTATTCTTCTTTTTCTTGCATCCAGTGGGTGTTTTTTCCCTGTCTGGGGAATTAACCGAGCATTTTTGCCGCGGGTGTATTAAATAATCATTGTTTATTAGGAAAAAAATACTCTATGGGTGATTTAAAGGAGCATTTTTCACCTTTGGGGGAATAGTTTTATTTCTTCTGGGTAGAGAGAGAGAGCGCCCTAGGTGAGACGGGGGAAGGGAGGTGGGGGGGAGGGCCCTAGAGAGGAGGGAGGGAGGGAGGGAGAGGAGGAGCCCTAGGGAGGGAGAGGTAAGTGACAAGGGGATAAATCAGGTTTTCTGTGATTTTTATTTTTTTTCACAGTTGGAGGAAAATTTAGGGAACGTGTTTTCTATTTCCTTCCTGGGTTTTGGATGTGTGGCTGTGTTTGTTTGTTTCTTTCTTGTTATTTCGTGTGTGTGTGTGTGTGTGTGTGTGTGTGTGTGTGTGATTAGGAATAGACTATGTTTATGGTAATGGTTAGTCAACGTGTGCACATTTCCACGTTGTTGTATGTATCTGTATATGCCTGAGCGCTCGCGTACACACACAACAACCACACAAGTGAGCATTATTAGGTACACAGGCATTACCTTGAGTATTTAATTATACTGTAGTAATATATATATATAAAACTAGCTTATTACTTCTTCAACCTACTAAGATTATATATACATAATTCATATAAACACACGAGTTATCCCTCAAGATCAGCTTATTGGTACTGTTTATTCATGTCGTGTGTATGTATGTATAGTGTATGTATGTATAGTGTCTGTATAGCAGTTTTGGCCAAGTGTAACAAAAGGTCATGTGTGTTTGACTACCTGATTGCTATATAAGAAAAAATCCATGTGTAAGATGAAAGTTTTCGTAAGATGGTGTTGATACTGGTGTGTACCTTGAGAGAGAGAGAGAGAGAGAGAGAGAGAGAGAGAGAGAGAGAGAGAGAGCCATAAGTCGTAAAATACAGCCCCACTACGTGCCGTCTTGGCGTTATCACCCACGAAACTGAACCAGTTTTTAGCCCAGTACCCGAAATATTCCATATTTCCCTAGGCTGTATGACGTTTTCCCATAATATACGGCCGTCTCCCACGCTCTATATAACTCTAGGTGTCAAATTTTACATGTGAATAAACTCTTAGGTGTCGATTTTTGCGTATGAATGCATCTCATGACCTTAGGTGGCACATCTTATCAGAATTTTTGCCACTCCCTCGGCGAACATCTTTACAATTTGACGAGAAAATCTTGTTTGGGTAAGATTGTGAACGGACCACTTGGCTCAGTGTGCAGAACACGACTGTTTGGATACGGAAAGATAAACTTACTTAATTCAACACCATTCCATTTCGGCTTTTTTTTTTTTACAATTTTTTTCTCGATTTTAAATTAATCATCAATCATTAACGCGATAGTAACGATATATCAGACGTAAGGAAAATAGAATGTTAATTTATCATAACGTATAGTGAGGACTGGATAGACTGATGATTGGTTTATTATTATTATTATCATCTTTCCGTGAGTAAGACTAAACAAATTATGATGATGTAATAAAAAAACAAAAGTGTGTGTGTGTACTGTATATCCTCCAGGTTCTCAGAGGCTAGAAGAGAGTGGAGAATATACCGCAGCAGATGTTCCCTCACTGGCCCGCCGTGTTGAGCTAAGGGCACAGGTGGTCCTTTAGCCCCAATTGTTTCGCTCAACCACTATAACGCACTTTACCTCTATAACGCACTTTACCTCTATAACGCACTTTACCTCTATAACGCACTTTACCTCTATAACGCACTTTACCTCTATAACGCACTTTACCTCTATAACGCACTTTACCTCTATAACGCACTTTACCTCTATAACGCACTTTACCTCTATAACGCACTTTACCTCTATAACGCACTTTACCTCTATAACGCACTTTACCTCTATAACGCACTTTACCTCTATAACGCACTTTACCTCTATAACGCACTTCACCTCTATAACGCACTTTACCACTTTTTTGTGTAAGAAATAGTTTGAGCTTCTGAGTTTATGGAGAGAGATTAGTATGGGTGTAGGTAGTCATGAAGTAAGGTAGAGACGTGTAGGTAACCCCCACTCTCTGTTGAACACACTCTCACACACTCATCTTCTTTTCCTTTCCATTATCTACCCCTCCTATCCTACTTCCTGTCTCTTTATCTATCCTTACCTTCTCGTCCTCCATCCCCCCCTCATCCATCCTCACTTCCTCCATCCATCAATCCTTCCCCACCTCCTCCTTAACCATCCACCACACCCGCTCTACCTCCTCCCTTACCATCCTTTCCCTTCCTCTCCATCCCCAATTACTTCCCCACCATCTCCCTCACTATCTAACCGTCCTTCCCCACCATCCATTTCTCTCCTCCTCCTCCTCCTCCTCCACGACCCCTGAACATAGTTGTCCCCGGGGCAGGAGGTTGGGTCGAGGAATTAGTGGTAAGTGATATAGCATTGTGAGTGAGGCTGGTCTGGGAGTCGCTCGTCCCTAGGGCCTCTCACACTACACTCAAAAATCCATTAGAAAACTCGGGGCTTACTGATATTGACACCAGTTGCGTTCCTCCATTAGGTTTCCCTGACATTGGAATGATGATGGTGTTTTTTTTTAATAAATATGTTACATGTAAGTTGAGAAATGTTAATTTATGTATACTGTATAGTGTGTGTGTGTGTGTGCGTGTGCGTGTGTGTGGACGTGTGGACTTTTCAATTAGTCGAGATACACAGGACTGCTTCACAACATCAAGCTTCTCTCTCCTTTCCCCAAGTTATCAAGTTATATGGCCACTGACTCACCCGCTGATATTTTGTTGTTGTTGTTATTTTTCCTCGCCAGAGATATTTCCGGGTTGATTAGTTTATATATATCCGGGTTTACTTGCACTATATTACTCCAAGCGTAAACATGATATACGAGAATGTTTACTGTTATTATTATTATTAATGTTAAGTCAATTATTGTCATTATTGATATCATTATTCACACACACACACACACACACACACACACACACACACACACACACCCTCGTCTACTCTCCTTCAAGACTTCCTTAGCCAAACCTCCTTAAAGCTCCTCTCCTCCGAGGCGGCAGCAGCAGCAGCTCTGGACAAGGCTTCAAGCTCTATGGTTGAGAAAACTCTGTTGACTCTATTTTTCCTGGGGAGCCAATATCCAGCAGGACCCAGGATGTGCAGGATTTCCCTTATGAGGTGAAGTTGACCTGAAACTGGACGAGTTAGGTAGCTCCGTCAACCGAGCGAGAGAGGCCAGGAAGAAGTGTTTTCGTCCAGCCACCAACTCATCCCCTCACCCACCCACCACCGACACTTCTTTTAATTTAGCTTCAACTTAGAACTGAAGACAGAAAAACTATTCTAAGATATCTTTTTTTTTTCTTGGCTTCGACTTAAACCAGTGGGTAAAAAAGTACAGTAATTTGGGAGGTTTTTTTTAGCGGTATAACATTATTTTTTTAATATAGTAACTTGTGGTGACTGCACATTTTTTTTTACTTTTTAAATTTCAGCTTCGACGTTGACCAGTGGATTAAAAAAAAATCTTTTCAGCTATTCTTGGAGGACTGTTTCATTTGATTTTATATGCGATTTGTTGTAAAAATAAGAAACAAAAATTAATTTTTTACTTTGATGAGAAGACGTTGTTGAATTAGGGTCCACACCTCACAGTGGGTGAAATTTAAATGAAGAAAATACTGAAGAAAGACAAACCTTTTTTATTTAATTTGAGTCTTGCACGAGGAAAAAAGTCAACATACTGTAAAGATTGTGTTGTGTTGTGTTGTGTAGTTCTTGTAACATATTTTTTTTAACTATTGGTGGTACAGGGGGGGGGGGTGGGTTCCGACGGTGTAATTTAAAGACAAAACATTTTAACTGCTGGAGTAAATAATTTCTCTCCATTCTAAGTGAGGTTTGCTCTCCACCTTGTACAGAATTAATAATTGTCTTCGTCGGTAATGTAATAATTTTATTCAGTTTTAGTGAGACATTTAATGAATAAATACATATATTTATGTTATGACAGCAAATTTTTTATAGCACAATTAATTTTTTTTCACTAAATTACCCTTAAATTTGAAAATGTTGTGTAATTTGTTGTGTGAACCTCTTGTACAGTGTAAACTACTGTGGTGTTAATGTCAGCTCGTCTTTGATTTTATCGGAAGTTTATGTTGTGAATGAATACATTGTGAGGGTGTTTAACCACTTGTATACGGGGTCCCCTCTCCCCCCTGAATAAATAACCTGGCGTTAATTAAATAGGCGTCCTCGTGGTGAAGGGGTTAACAGCAAAGTTTCTCCCCATAGTAAATTAGTTTATTATTATTTATTTTAATAGTAGTTTAGAATGTAAATATTATATAATGACCAAGAGATACTGGGAAATGTTTTACAGAGTCAAGCTGTACTACACGACGATTTTATTTAACCGTCAGGCTTCTCACTGCTCCAAATTCTAAATTCTTTTAATTTTAATTGTGACTCTGGGCCACCACAACAACATGTGTGTTTAAGGGGGTTCTCACCCACCTAAATTGTCTTTATTTTTAATTACGACACATATGAAAGAAAAGAGAAAAACAATTTATGTGGAGTGGAATTAATTTTCCTCCTACCAGGTATTACGGTAATTTCTCCTGATGCACAGTGAAACGGGTATTAAATATAAGAGGTCACCTGACTCCTAATTCTTCCTCATATAAACTAAAAAGGGAATATTCGACGCCACATCTGCTTTAAGGTAACAATTTTCCCCACCGAAAATTCTTTTGGTGGTAAGTTTAACGTAAACTGTAAACACATGACCTTAGGACAGTGAGGCGCCGCTATGTGCCTTGACCGCGACGGTTCACTGTCTTATATATGTTCACCGTAAATGTTGGCCTAAAAATGTGTCCTGAGTCAGTGTGTACCAACATGTGTCCTGAGTCAGTGTGTACCAACATGTGTCCTGAGTCAGTGTGTACCAACATGAGTCCTGAGTCAGTGTGTACCAACATGTGTCCTGAGTCAGTGTGTACCAACATGTGTCCTGAGTCAGTGTGTACCAACATGTGTCCTGAGTCAGTGTGTACCAACATGTGTCCTGAGTCAGTGTGTACCAACATGTGTCCTGAGTCAGTGTGTACCAACATGTGTCCTGAGTCAGTGTGTACCAACATGTGTCCTGAGTCAGTGTGTACCAACATGAGTCCTGAGTCAGTGTGTACCAACATGTGTCCTGTGTCAGTGTGTACCAACATGTGTCCTGTGTCAGTGTGTACCAACATGTGTCCTGAGTCAGTGTGTACCAACATGTGTCCTGTGTCAGTGTGTACCAACATGAGTCCTGAGTCAGTGTTACCCGATGTGTCCTGAGTCAGTGTGTACCAGATGTGTCCTGAGTCAGTGTGTACCTGTCCTGAGTCAGTGTGTACCAACATGAGTCCTGAGTCAGTGTTACCCGATGTGTCCTGAGTCAGTGTGTACCAACATGAGTCCTGAGTCAGTGTTACCCGATGTGTCCTGAGTCAGTGTGTACCAACGTGTGTCCTGAGTCAGTGTGTACCAACATGAGTCCTGAGTCATTGTTACCCGATGTGTCCTGAGTCAGTGTGTATCAACATGTGTCCTGAGTCAGTGTGTACCAACATGAGTAGTCAGTGTACCAACATGTGTCCTGAGTCAGTGTGTACCAACATGCGTCCTGAGTCAGTGTGTACCAACATGCGTCCTGAGTCAGTGTGTACCAACATGCGTCCTGAGTCAGTGTTACCCGATGTGTCCTGAGTCAGTGTGTACCAACATGAGTCCTGAGTCAGTGTTACCCGATGTGTCCTGAGTCAGTGTGTACCAACGTGTGTCCTGAGTCAGTGTGTACCAACATGAGTCCTGAGTCAGTGTTACCCGATGTGTCCTGAGTCAGTGTGTACCAACATGAGTCCTGATATATGTTTTGAAGTACTGATGCTATTGTTATTATTATTATTATTATTATTATTATTATTATTAGTATTAGTATTAGTATTAGTATTAGTATTAGTAGTAGTAGTAGTAGTAGTAGTAGTAGTAGTAGTAGTAGTAGTAGTAGTAGTAGTATTTATTATTATTATTATTATATTAAGGATAAAGCTAGTGTGTGTTCCACGTGTATCATATGTTTACAAAGGATGGAAGGTGAATTAAGAAGTGCCGTGTAAATTTAATTCACTTCATGTTTTTTTTACTCGAATGAAAAAGTGTTTTAAAATGTCTGAAGAATTAAAAGGTTGGAATGTCATCAATCGAAGTCATTCCAGGTGAACGTGTAAGCTAGACAGGGAATTAATGAGGTGTCAAATATACTTAAAGCGTGACATATCAGTCGGTAGATTATAATAATTTACAATAATGATTCATATTGGATGGTTTTGAAAGTTTTTGATGACGTGTCGTGCGTGCTTAGGATGGGTGTTCAATAACTTAAATACCCTCTACCTGCTTGCTGATTTTGTTTTAAGTGCTCAAGGTGCTTCAACTACCAGGGCTTTTAGATATCGTTCACTTCATCTCAAGGTCCACAAAGGATTGCAAATTTCTTAAGATTAAACAAAGTAATGTAATAGACTCTCTCTGGGTGTGTAAAGGGCGACGTGGAATCTGGTATAACCTCGGCGGTTCTGGCCTATAAAAAACTCTCCCTCGGTCAGTCAGTTAGTTAGGAAGACTTGTAGATAAACGCAACTCAGAATTTATTTTTAGTATCGGAAATTATTTTATGTCCTTGGCAGAAGAGGTGTTGTTCCTGTGGTCACGAGCTATGATAACATGCCTTCTAACTAAACTACTGTACTTTACTTATAATGGGAGGTATCAGTAGTAACTTACATAATGATAACTCTTATTTTTGCTGCCAGGTTTTTATTGGACACTTATGGCATGGGGGTGTAAGACATCAGTAGAGAGGAAGAGTGTGAGAAGGAGCTCCCACAGTCTGATATATTAAATAACAACAATTTAAACACAAACGTCATTAATATGTATTTGTCTTGTAATTGTTAGTAGTTGGAATTAATTGGATACAAACTTAATAATCAAGCAAATATAAAACGAAGAGTAAAGCAGAATAAAGCTCGCTAAACACACACACACACACACACACACACACACACACACACACACACACACACGAGTAAACTCCTCAGTGATGATGTTATGGGAGAGTCACCATCAACACCCACCATTAAGGTCTGTGGTAATTAATATGACAGGTGCGGTGCGGTGCGGTAAGTCGCTTCAGTATAGTTACGGGTCAAACATTTTGGTTCAACAACTTTATGCGACGCAAATGTTTATTGAGAGTTAATGTATGTTACGTTTTATAAATACTAAACTAAACAAAACTAATACTGCATTACCCACACACACACACACACTATAAAATAAACAGGTTTAGAATTTTTTATTATTATTAGCATTCAAACATTTTTATTGTGTCTTCATTGTTTATACTATTTTCAGGGGGTATTGCCAGAACCTCAAGAATAAAAAAAAAAATATTTAAAGAATGTTATTGTGATTTATTAGAAGGAAAATATGTAATCCACGTCAGATCAGTGATTTAGAGAGATAGTGGAGAGTTAACCCCCGTGCGTGGTGTTTATCATGACTCATGTGTACTCTCCTCAGACGCTGCAGTACCGGGACGACCATGGCGGGGTAATGGTGGGGGAAAAAATATTGGAGGGAAAAACTTGACTGGGGGAAAATGTTGAGTGGAAAAATATTGCAGGGAAAATTAAAAAAAAAAGTTGACAGGAGGAAAATGTTAAATGGAAACAAAAATATATATTGCAGGGGAAAAAACGTCGGGGTAAAAAAATGTTGCAGGGAAAATGAAATGTTCCTCCCCCTTTTCGCAAAATGGGGGAAAAATGTTAAGGTTGACTATAAAAGTATAAGATTTGGTTGCAAATATGTTGTTTGGGATAGAAATATTCACAAGGAAAAATATAAGAAAATATTGTTATTAAAAAACTAAAGAAAAAAAATATATCAAGGGAAAATTTAATGTTCCAGAAGTAGAAAGAAAATATCGTCTCCAAGAAAAATAAATTAAATGCCTAAAAAAGTGTAAAGGAACACCTGTAATTCTTATAATCAGTAGTGGATTGTTTGTGTCCAGGTGAATGTAATTAATCCCCAGGTATTTTTTAGGGAAGTTACCGTTAAGCCTTTAGTTTAGTTTTTCCTTACTGGGTATTAACTGAAGGTTACCTGTTCATAGCAATTGTTTTTGTGCTTAATTTTTGGTTGACGAATTATTGTTATACTGATTATTGTGTGTTTGGTGAAGGGCGGTGTTGTGTAGTGTGTAGACAAGTTTCCAGGTCTCTCTCTCTCTCTCTCTCTCTCTCTCTCTCTCTCTCTCTCTCTCTCTCTGTCTCTCTCTCTCTCTCTCTGGGTGTTCTATCTGCTGTTTTGCTAAGTTTAAAATACATTTATTTAACTAGAAGTTTGTGAAAGTATGTCGCCGGCGAAATTTATTGTGTACGCCATGAAACACTAAAGCTCACGAGCAAATCAAATAATCTTCTCTATTACATTTGTTTTGTTCTTATGAGTCATACATTACACAATCGTCTGGTCATTCATTACACAATCGTCTGGTACGTTAAAGGATTTTGTAAAAAGCAAAATACATCCATATATTTTAAATTTAATCACTTTAAAACACATCTGGTGTTGTCGTTTTTCTCCATTTTGCCCCCACGTGCAGCACACTGTACTGTACAAGGTCGTACACTCATCTTACATGTCAATATTGGCAGTGTTAGAGGCAGTGATGACGCTGTGTTTGATGTTCACGTCAGGACCCAGGAATCTCCGCCTACTGTCACCTCAGCGAAGGTTTGATTTTTGTGTGTCACTCGGATTTATGAATGCGTAAGTGAACAATCTGAACACCAAATGCAATCTTTTAATGTAAATCCATATTAATAGAACATCACAAATGTGTGTGTGTGTGTGTGTGTTTACGATTTTTTGCGAAATCGGTATTTTTGCAAAATGGCCAGCCAATTTGAAAACGAGCCAAAAACCCGGGCTTTTTGCAGAATGACCTTTAATGTTGTACCAGATTAGGCTAGTTTAAGTTAGGTTTTGCCAAGTTGGCTCGTGTAGCTTGATAGACAGTTTTGTGGCCCTGTTCTTGTTTTTTTTTATTTTACTTCAGTCTGTGTGCTGTCCTAACATTACCTGTTCCGACATCTAACATAATCAAACCTAACCTAACCTGAGTCAACCATAAGGTTAGGTTAGGTTGGCCTGCTTGTATATATATATATATATATATATATATATATATGAAGTTAAGTGTTGACGTTTGTCTCTACTCTTCTCATGGTCTGAGTAGTTGATTTACAGTGAATTAATTGCGGGGGTTTTCAGGGATGTGATGACAGGGGATGTTGTCGGCCGTGTAAATAAATATGGGAATGTAAATTAGTTTGACGTTATGGTGAGAGAGAGAGAGAGAGAGAGAGAGAGAGAGAGAGAGAGAGAGAGAGAGAGAGAGAGAGAGAGCATGCTACCTTGTGAATAAGACAGTGAGAGAGAGGCACCTTGATGGTCTTGGTGCCACGGACGATACTGGACAAACTATTAATGATGCATCTGGACATTGGTTGGCTCTTATACCGAGGGCGGAGGTAGGGTGTATATGGGAGGTGGGTGGGTGGGTGAAGGAGGGAAGGTGGGTGGGTGGGTGGGTGAGTGAAGGTAGGTGGGTGAAGAGTGAGAAAAAGATAAGGAAAGACAAGTGTGTGTGGGATGGAAGTTTGATGTGTTATATGGGTGATGGAGAGAAAGAGGGAGAGGAATATAAGGGTAATTGAGGGAAGGGGAAGGACGAGGGAGATAGAAATAGACTGAGGAAGGAAGGAAGGAAGGAAGGAAGGAGGTTGAATAATAGGTTTTATCAGTCACTAAATTCTTATATACAGTACGTGTGTATGTAAACAGTTATACTTTTATGTATATTTGCTTACAAGTATACGTTCATTTATACATAAAATCTTGTACACGCACACACACAGATACACACACATAAACACAGACACACACACACACACACACACACACACACACACACACACACACACAGACACGAGCCATCATGTTAGCCTAGACAAACAGCGTTACCAATTGCGTGTTTGCCTTGGTAGTGTGGTTAATTGAAGGGCTCGACGCTGAGTGTTGACTGTGGCAACACTGTAAGTGATGTAGGGATGTTGTCAGTCTTGTAGGAGATGAGGGTGGGGGGGTGGGGTGGGGGTGAAGTGGGGTTGAGGTGTGCAAAGGGTAAAGGGAGAACGGAGGAGGAAGGCAGGAAAGGAGGG